ATACACAAAGTTCCTGCTGCAGGTTCGAACTGCAATTCTCTCAAAACAATCATATTAAAAAGAGGTGTGTCATGGCCAGCAGATGGCGTAATGTTACATTGCTGGGCTCCCATGCAGTTGATTGTTGTTCTAGTCCTAAACCCCCAAAGGATGATTTCTTGCTTTCTGTCTCTCCGTCTCTCCAGTGAGCACATGTGCCCTATAGCAAAAATCTCTCTAAAAAAGAAAAATAAAGGACGTATGTAGCAAAAGACATGATAAGTCAACTGAAAAAGCAAATGGTGGACTGGACAAATGCTTGCCACACCCATGACACGAGGAAGGGAAAACAGCCTTGAGACGCGAAGGCCATCTTAACTGTAGAGAAACGTAAAACAATACAATGTCATGTTTTTACTCACTTCTGGGAAAAATATATGACAATGACATCGAAAGCTGACGGGGTGAGGCAAAATAAACACAATATATTGCTGGTCAAAATTTAAATTGCTAAAACCTTTTCAGAAGAAAGGATAGAATTCTGTATTAAAGCATAAAACACGCAGACCTTTGACCCCTAAAGCTCATTTTCTGGTATCTACCCACCAGATAATATAAACATAAAAGCACCGTAAAATAAGAATAAATGCTCACATGGTTTTATTGTGTATGCGATGGGGGGCAAAAGACAAGCCAAAGTTCAGCAAGCGTTTTCTGTAGAGGATCCGACAGCAAATTTGTTAAACTTTGCAGGCCATGTAGTGTCTGTGGCAACTTTACTCTGCTGTTGGAGGGTGAGTATGGCCTGTGAGGATATGAGGCAACGAGTGTAACTGTGTTCCGATCAAGCGTCATTGACCAAAAACAGGCGGCAAGCCAGCTTTGGCCTAGGAGTCATAGTTTACAACTCCTTCTCTAAAAGATTATAATTCGTATTCATCAAGAGAATGGTTGAATAACATGTGAAATATTATATGCCACTAAAAAGAATGAATCTGAGGGGCCAGCAGGTGGCATGATGCTTAAGGCGCTGGATTCCCACATGGCCGACCAGGGTTAGAGTCCCAGACCTGGTGGCTTGCTTT